GCCAAAGTAAAACGGACTGCGATGTCTATCCGTCCCAGACCGGACGGAAAGGACCGTGAGGACTACCGCTTCCAGGAAACGCTGGACTTTGGTGTTGGAGCGGGTCCAGACCTTTATGTCTCCCCGAGGGGAGCTTGAATGCAAGGTGAACTTCTCTTCGGGAGCAAGAAGTTCAAAAGATCACGGAGGTTTAACTGCCGCATTTCGAGCAATTAATACCCGGAAGCAAGCTAGAAAAACACCTCAAACAAGACAAGACCTCGATAAGAGCATACACTAGAGCGAAGAAGGACAGAATTGTCAACATATAGCAAACAAGGAATTATTTACAGACCCGGAAAAGAGTTATGTGGGGTGGAGTTGTCTAGGCACAAACTGCTTTTAGATCAATGCACCATTTACCCCTTTTGTTTTATGTGACGGCTTGCCACTGGTTGCCCGTTATGTGCCTTCGTGACCAAGCTCTGTCGACGTTTTGCATGAATCGGCTCAGCTCTCTGCTTGGAGAGACTCTCACCATCTGCCAACGGTCACCAAGGTATGGCTGCAGAGTCCCCTGTGGTGGACACCATACCAATGGATCTTCATCACGGGAGTGTCATGGTCGACAACCTGACGGTGAAACCGTCAAAGGAATGATTAACACGCGCTCCGGGTGGCCGGTTGAATATCTTCGCTCGGGTAGGGAGGGAAGGGGGGGGGGGGCAATTAGACCGCTGAGAAGAGAGCTAGAGACACCAAAAGTTATCGGGTGTGTTGGCCTTTACATGAAATTCACTTGCATCAATATTTGAGGCTTCTAGGGTATGTTCCTCGTGTCAAATTAGGCCACTCCAGATTGGTGTTCAAGGTGACCCCAGGCTTTCTTTTTTTACATACCTGTTCTAAGCAAAAGGTCACTGCTGCTCATTTAAGGTCAGCGACCTTTTTTTACTTTTGGAAGGTTATGGTGGCCAAACCCATACAAGACTGCTTTGATTTTTTGCATTTGAATAAGCGTCAAGGATACGGCAGGCGCTATGCTCTCCGAAACAAAATGCTGATTTGTGTCAATTTAGGCTAGCGACCTAATCTGACCTTTAGAAAGCCCATTAAAGATGTATGATGCGGCTCCTGTAGTTTGGCTTTTTGTTCCTGCTCAGCTCCCCCCCCCCTGCCCCCACCACTTCTTACCTTTTATTGTGCACCCCTTGACTTACGTCGCAACTGCAGGGAAAATGTTACAACAACAAAGCTGATGAAAGAGTTTAAAATCACATGAAGCCGAATTCGTACCGACTACCCTAACATTGCTCGAAAGCGAAGGGTAATCCGAAACAGGCCGCTACATATGGCACAACGTAGTAGCCACTCCAAATAAAATATGATATCAAATGACACAAAGCCGAAGCCGAACCCGAAACCATCACAGAAAAAACGCTGCTTCGCAAAGCCGAAGACGTAGCCGGCTTCGCCCCGATGCACAGCCAGACACACCGTGGCATCCAAATCCCATTGCAAATGCTGATCGTCACTGAGTGGTCGCGAGTGACGCTAAACGTCGTATAGCTACCACCGACGAAATATTCCCGGTTGCCATGGAAATTTGCCAAACTTATTTATGGTGAAAAGAAATTCCAAGTCAACATAAGAACTTAGGCAGTTGCTCGAAACGCAAGTATGAAAAATTATGCAAGGTTTGAGACTGTGGAGAAACTTGGCATGATATAGACGTTGGCTACAGCAGCTTTTTGTTGCATTAGTTGTAGAACTCAATATAGGGAATGGTTTTATCCAGCCTCTGTGAAAACATCACACCTTAAGTGCAGGAGTCACGGAAGAGGCCGGCGCCGCACCGCGCATTCCGTGGGATTTAAGGATGCTCAGTGCGCCCGACTGGCTACGGACCTGGATTGAACCATTGTAATTCGGGTCATTTCACTAGCGTCATGGTCTGGAAAGTGGTCACGCAGGACCACCAGATTAGGAATGGTCTGGAAAGTGGTCACGCAGGACCACCAGATTAGGAATGGTCTGGAAAGTGGTCACGCAGGACCACCAGATTAGGGATGACGTATTTGGCGGACAGGAAGCTCAATAAGCGACCACCGAACCGTCCACCAGAAGCGACTGCGCCTCACTGCCACCTAGTGTCGGCCCCTCCCCGGTGGAGGCACACTGGGTGGCGAGCTGGACGTGGAGGCTTTTGTGGCCGCTGGTGTCAGCCATTTTGTACCAGTGGTGGCACCTACAATAGCTGTTAGATTATCACCACACCTGATTACGTAAAGCAGTTAAGCAACACTCGCAACCATCCGAGCATGCGACGAATAGGATCCGTCACATTCGTAACCCTCCGAGCATGTGACGAATAGGATCCGTCACATTCGTAACCCTCCGAGCATGTGACGAATAGGATCCGTCACATTCGTAACCCTCCGAGCATGTGACGAATAGGATCCGTCACATTCGCAACCCTCCGAGCATGTGACGAATAGGATCCGTCACATTCGTAACCCTCCGAGCATGTGACGAATAGGATCCGTCACATTCGCAACCCTCCGAGCATGTGACGAATAGGATCCGTCACATTCGTAACCCTCCGAGCATGTGACGAATAGGATCCGCCATATTCGCAACCCTCCGAGCATGTGACGAATAGGATCCGTCACATTCGTAACCCTCCGAGCATGTGACGAATAGGATCATTCTTAATAAAAGACGGAACACTGGCATATGTTTTTGCACACGCGCACACGCACGCGCACACGCACTCACACGCGCACGCATACGCACACGCACACGCGCACGCACATGATACGCAGACGCACACGCACACTTGCACGCGCGCACACGCGTACCGGCGCATTCGTGTATCCGCGTACCCGCGCACGCGCATGGAAACATTTCCAACGCTGGCATATCATTCAAAGTCACTTGGCCACAATGACATCTATGGACAGAATTCGTCATTTATGGATGAAGACTAATTCGCATGACGCAGACAGTGTCCTTCGAGTCAGAGCTGACGCAGTTAATCCTTTCCACATTCTTTAAGCCCGAAACCAGGCCCGTGCTACGATTTTTTTCTGCGGATTTTCCATGTTTCAAAAAATGGAGAGACAGAGGTGCGGATCGCCTTTCGCCTTCCTTCTCCAAAATACATCATGCGTCAGGGCATCCCCGGAAAAGTCCGGAAAAGTCCGTAGCCCACCTGATATGGATCGGGTGAGAGTTTTCAAAACTTTTAGCTTCCTTTTTCAGCCTCAGAAACACCCGTCAAATAAATTTGGGTCATATAAGGTCAAACAACGACCAAGTCAATTCTAGGTTGGTGTTCAAAGTGTCTCAGGTCCCTTCATGCTACCGCTTTGAACCGGATCTAAGCAAAGGTCGCTGATGCTGTTTTAGGTCGGTGACCTTGTTTGACTTTTCAAAAGTCAGGTAGAGGTATACAAAAATACTAGGAGATACTTTGTGTTCTTAACTTTGAAATGCGTAAAGAGCTACACTAGATGGTATGTTTATAAAACACAAAAGCTTTTGTGAAATTTTTAGGTCAGTGACCTGCGTTAACTTTTAAGAAATCCATGGAGGATATCTGCTACGGTCCCTGAAATCAAGAAATTCAAAATGAGCATCAGGAACTGCCCCATAAGCAGCTCTTCTGTATGAAGAAGGTTGATTTTGACCATGGTCTGTAATTGTCTAAGAAACTATATCAGAGATATTTGGTTTCGTATAGCACTCCGTTATGGCATCAAATTGAACGATTCCCTAGAAATCGTTTTCGCCGACAGCAACGCTCTGGCTTTAACGTGCCATAGGTTAGAGACCTCGCGGGTTACATGTTATCTTTCGACACCAAAAGATCTACTATTAAATTGCTTGCAGGTACGCAAAGTTTGATGCAGCTACGCCGTGCCTCATGAAAATTTTTCCCAAAACACTTTCGGGGACAAATTCATCTCCATCAAGCACGTGCTAAGTCATCTTTTTTTACGCCTGAGGTTCTCTTTCAGGTCTTTGGGGGTCTTGAAATGGCCAAGAGATGCATTTTCTGGTATAAAGCTACATCATCAATCCTCAGAGGAATTTAATCAGGCCTGACGGTGCTCTGCTTAAGGAATGCAATTGAAAGCAAAATATCAGTACTGTTCCGCTCGCAGGTTTATCAGTATTTCGAAGGCTCTGTGTGTCTGATGGTCTCTGGTAAATTACACAACCTTCATTTCAGTGGGTTCCCTCTGGTTTCTGATGCAGCCTTCTAAGACCGCAGCAACTCATGGCTTAAAGAACAAAAAAGGTGTCATTATACTCTAAGGATCTTATTTCATCACAAATGTAATTTTAGTGATCTCAGGTCATCATGGTGACCTTCATTCGAGTATGTGGCTGTGAGATGGGAAACCATAACAGCGGTCTCCGATTTCAGAGTCCTTGTGGTTCGAATTCGAGACAAGAATTCCGACCGCAGCTTCTGATCGGCCGTTGCCACCAATCACCTGATCGGCCGTTGCCAGTTTGACTCCCGCCATCGTTGCCGTTATTCTAGTGAGTAGCCATGTGATGGCCCTGCAGCTGTCATTGATCTAGGAATTCATTGTCAGCATTGTGATTCTTGTAGTGATGACATCTTCACATGTCTCCGGTCGCCGACCGTTTTAGCGCTCTGACGGTTTCTGGGCATTTGCTCCCATGTCTGCTCCGTGTGCTTCGCAGTATCTCTGATGAGACTGGGGACGCTTTATTGGTTCTTTTTCCAGAAGCACACAATCATCGGGCTGTGGCAAGCCGAGCAGAAGGCTGTGCATTTCGTTTTTATCCCACTTCTGGTTGGGCAGATGTGTACTAAAAACTGCCGACGAAACGGTTTTTAAACAGTGAAACACACGATTAAACCATGCCGCTATCTACTGATCACACATTTTACGCGACAACACAACAGACGTGTTTCATAACGACTTCTGAGGCATTAGTACAATACAAGAAGATACAACGATGCAAAACGAGAACACAGTATGATATAAAACGAGAACACACAACAGTACAAAAGCGTTGTAATCATTTACACGCGGGAACGCTTCACATATTTGGGTGCAGCTGATCCCTGCTATGCCTTGCGTTGCGCCACATTGACTTTCATCCTCATGAAGCAGTCTGATGCACCTACCACATATGAACTAAACAGGCTGCAGGGCAATAACTCATTGTCCCTGCTAAAAGAGTATCTGTACGTCGGTAGGACGGCTGGGGGGCTGGTAAGATGAGTGGAAAGGAAAAATGCTTCGAAAATAGTGGCCCGATTCCGGTCGGACAAAATTTTGACTATAACCTGTGTCCTTTGGCCGACAAAATTTTCAACTGGACTTCAGCTATTTTGTGCTCCTGGACATGGCAATGACTAAACCACACGTGATGCTGGCTTCACGTCTCCACCGACATGCCGCCCCCCATTACGTTATCATGCTTGCCTACATATACATGCGCGTAAGCGGACAGGTTGTGAGCGGCGCGGCAGGCAGGAGCAGCACTTCAGAAAGTGGAGCCTGGGATGATGGCCGATGGTATGAGCTCCTCGGAGATGATGTCCCCCTTCTCATCGTGCTCCTGCTGGACGGACTGCAGCAGCTTGTAGTCCGTGATCGCATCGGGAAGCTCGGCGACTGGATGCCAGTGGGTGGAGACCAGGTGCACGCCCTGCGGATGGTGAGCAGAAGTCGCAGATGAAGCGAAACACCGCGGACGAGTACGGCCGCAGCAAGGCCGCTCGCGCGGCAGCGGGACAACGTGTTCGAAAACTGACCCGTCCAACCGCTCTGGGTGCGATTGTTGCAGCTTGTCTGATCACCAGAAAGCATTCAAAAATGCATCCTAGTAAACGACAAAGGCATATAATATTGAGGTTTGCACAGCGTTACTGAAGGGCATCGTATACATAAAATAATTGATAGTTTAAGCTGAATGCCTAGCATTCCCTACAACACTCAAGGGGTAAACCATCTCAGAAGTATGTATGTATGCTTGCACGAACCGCAAAAGGTGTGAGGAATTGTTAATTTGCTTCAAGAAACAACTCAACAAGACCGCCACCTCACCGTACAAATTCGGAAATCAATTCGAGATCTCCTGACGCTGGATAGTATCAGCCCGGCGTCCACAGACAGCCATGGAATAGCACAAGCCACCTCAAAACAAGTGAGCTGGCAGCCATGTCTGAGCGAGCAGCAGACGCTGACCGCTGGCACGCGACCAGCGCCGCGCCGCGTGCAGCCTCACCCTCGGCTGGTAGCCGTTCTCATCGGCGTGGAACAGGATCTCGATGCGGGTGCCCTCGGGCGTGTTCCACTGGACGCGGCCCTCGGTGGTCATCACGCCCGTGTTGTTGGAGGGCCCGTTGAAGACCTTGCCCACCTCCTCTCGCGATATGCCGTTCGTGGTGTCGAACCTGCCGGCATGGCGCGAGACGCTGAGGCGTGACAAAGCACGTAGACATTACTTACGAAAAGGAAGATAACGCAGCTAGTGTGTGATACCCAGACCCGGGGCGGCCGTGCCGCAGCACTGCGCGGCACTAAAGCCCTCCGCATTCCGGTCTGGTGGGACGGCGCAGGCAAACTTATCCGTTGAGCCAGACGGCGAGACTTGGGTGTTGGGTTCAGCGTACACGCGACAAGCTATGCTTAGCAGGTAATCTGAACCTAAGGTCACAATGCAAACCATGCGAAATAATTTTTAAAATGGTGTGCAGCGCAATGGGAAACAGCAGTGATATACCCGCCATATCTATTATGCCGAGGGCCACCCATAGCCTAGCAGTGGATATAGTGGGCCCGCATCGGTTTTTAACGTTGTATAACCTATATGCACATATATCTATCTATGTATCCTTATTTGTGCATATGTATATAGCTATATAGATAACTAGATATTGTATATATATATATATATATATATATATGTATGTATACACTTCACGTTATATAACCTACACAAATGAAATAATTATAGCATGTGGTGCGTGAGCCGACTGAGTTACAGGCTCGGTGCACACTTGAACAGCTGGCGCGATAATGAGTCCCGTCTCATGAGTTAATTTTCTTAACGGTGGGTCGGGCACGGTTCCACGTTCCCTCTCGCTGTCCCCGGGTTCCACCTGCTTGAGTAATAATGCTCCAGTCGCAATAACGCCCTTGCACGGCAGCCATATTACACCTGTGCCAATGCAACGCCACCGTGATCCACCAATACAAGCCGGCACGTATACTCGTCAAACGCACATCATCTGCGTTGTATACATCTGGCATGTCTATACTTGGGTGATTCGGTCAAAATGAGAGATTCGGTAAGTGATAGATAACATGCACCAAAACCTGATATTGAGGGCGATCATCTTTTACATGTTGTTTTCGTTTTGTCTTTGTTCCATATTAGGAGAGCTTGACCGCGCAAATGAGAACGCAAATGGGCTTTGAGAGTTCAGTCTTTCTGTGCAAAGTCGTAGATCTAACGTTTATCTTCTGGATGAGGATGCAGACGTATCCTCATAAAATGATGATATCTCTTACATTGCGACGCATCCACAAGTCAACTTTCTCCACCCTCCCCCTTTTGCCAAGATAATATTTTGGGGGGGGGGAGGGCTGCAGCCGTCGATCTCACTCACTCAAATCTGTAGCCATCCTGGAAGTTCTCGCTGGTGTACGTCACTATCCTGGCGTCCCTCTCCGACTTGTCGCTGCTGCTCGAAGCAGGTAACTCATTCTGGCTCTGCGGGGACCGCTTCACCAGCCTCGGTGCCGCCAGCGTGACGGCCACCAGGCACAGGCCGATGCTCACGATCTGTCGACACACGCGATCATCAGAAAAAAACGTATGCGGTTATTTACCTGGCATGAGGCATCACTGACCCATCGACATGATGTCAATATCATGTTTGGGGCGAGGTGCCGGTCGGTTTCACATCACAGACAACAGGTAGTACGTGGAATTCGCAGATAAAACGGAGTTTATGTTAGACAAGTGCCGTAAGGTCACAGTGAGGCTAATGACGGCTTATTTTCCCCCTTACATGTAAATGGCGACGGTTGGATGAGCCGTGCATGTGCGTTTCCTGGGAGCCCCAGACAAAACTGCGAGAAAAAAAAACTGCGGAACTGATGGTTCAGGCGGAATGCACGACTGCGTCTGAGTTACGATGCATTTTGTTCAGTGTGAGGGACTAATGTGGAACGTGCCTAACATCGGCACGCAATTGTTGCGAGTCACTTTTGAATCTCCTCTTATGTTGTGTAAATAAACAGATAGAAAATTATCGGTAAGATATCATCATCAGTCCTACATTATTGTTATCCAGGTAATGGAACATGGCGCTTGCATTGTTGTTAGAACACTGCGGATGTGTGGCGAAATTGCCATGGAATATGGTTGTTAGTTATCTACTTCAGTCCAGCGCATCCCCGTCAATATAAGACGTCGAGCATAGCTGTGCCCCAACACGCCGACGTCCACGCAAATATCGCAGTCACACCACCGGACATCACCCGGCGCAGGAGTGACCCACGCGCTCACCCGCAGCGCCGGACCTCACCCGGCGCAGGGGTGACTCACGCGCTCACCCGCACGCGGAC